CCTACAGATGGATCCAGTCATGGGAACCCACCAGAGAGATCCGTCCCCGTCCTCTGTATTCCCGGGATTCCACACAGGAAGGTCACACCATCCCTCACCATCATCAGGTAGATGAGGAACAATCACTGATAGTATCATTAGGATCTGTACATTATCTGCATTGTTACCATTGATGGCATTTTTATTATATATTCAGAGTGGAAACCTGAGAGATCCTAAAGTTGAGGATAAAGAAGAGATAAAATAGAGGAGAGGATGAGGATGGGGGGATGGAGGAGTCAGAGTTTCTAAAAGAATACAAAGATCTGTACCAGGACACCATGGTGGAGTCATCCAGCTACAGGAACCCACCAGAGAGATGTCCCTGCCCTCTGTATTCCCAGGATTCCACACAGGAAGGTCACACCATCCCCTCACCATCATCAGGTAAATGATTGACAATTATTTAATTATTATTATTTAATTATTAAATAATTCTATTATAATAAGTAGTTGTGATTTATACACAGCTTGTTTGTTACAATTATTATTATGACCTACAGGATTTATGGCGCCGACAGAGTTTGCTCAGCGCTTTACATTATGGTGGGAAACAGTACAGTAACAATACAGATCAATACAAGGGATTTGAGGGCCCCGATCCACGGAGTTTACAATCTAGGAGGGAGGGGCTAGTGGTACAAAAGGTAGTAACTGTGGGGGATGGAGTGGTTGGAAGAGTAGAGGATTCCAGTATTAGCTGAGGGTGGGGTAGGCCTCCCTGAAGAGAGAGGTTTTCAGTGTGCACCTAAAAGTGAGCAGAGTAGGCGATAGTCCCTGATAGATTGGGATAGGGAGTTCCAGAGGATGGAGGAAGCCCTGGAGAAGTCCTGGAGATGAGCATGGGAGCAGGAGACAAGGGAGCTAGGCTAGAGAGTAGAAAGTCTTGCGAGGAGCGGAGAGGACGGTTTGGGTGATATTTAGAGACAAGATCGGTGATGTAATTTGGGGCAGAGTTATAAATGGTTTTATATGTTATTGTTAGTGTTTTGAATTTTATCTGTTGGGCAATGGGAGGCCAGTGGAGGGATGGCAGAGAGGGGTGGAGGACACTGAATGGAGGCCAGTGGAGGGATTGGCAGAGAAGGGTGGAGGACACTGAATAGAGGCAGTGGAGGGATTGGCAGAGAGGGGTGGAGGACACTGAATGGAGGCCAGTAGAGGGATTGGCAGAGAGGGGTGGAGTACACTGAGTGGAGGCCAGTGGAGGGGCTTGGCAGAGAGGGAGAGGTGGGAAGTACACTGAATGGAGGCCAGTGGAGGGATCGGCAGAGAGGAGTGGAGGACACTGAGTGAAGGCCAGTGGAAGGCCAGTGGAGGGATTGGAGAGAGGGGTGGAGGACACTGAATTGAGGCCAGTGGAGGGATTGGCAGAAAGGGGTGGAGGACACTGAATGGAGAAGCCAGTGGAGGGATTGGCAGAGAGGGTGGAGGACACTGAGTGGAGGCCAGTGGAGGGATTGGCAGAGAGGGGTGGCAGATACAGAACGGTTAGTAAGGTGGATGAGTCTGGCAGCAGCATTCATGATAGACTGAAGAGGGGATAGCCTGCGATGAGGTCGGCCAATGAAGAGGGAGTTTACAATAGTCAAGGTGAGATATAACAAGGGAGTGAATAAGTTGCTTAGTAGTTTTCCGAGGTTAGGAACGGGTGTATCTTGGAGATGTTGCGGAGGTTGGAGATGTTGCCGAGGTGAAGTCTACAAGATTTGGACAGTGATTGGATTTGGGGCTGAAAGGACAGATGGGAGTCTAGGATTACACCTAGTACCCTGGCATGAGGGGAGGGAGGGACTGATGGTGGTGGTGTTGATCTTGATGGAGAAGTCGGGGGAGGGGGCACGGGCTGGAGGGAATACTAAGAGCTCAGTTTTGGAAAGATTGAGTTTGAGGAAGTGGCGTGACATCCATGCCGATATGTCACTTAGTAGGTTAGTAATGTGAGAGGAGACTGAGGGGGTGAGGTGAGGAGGAGACTGAAGGGATGAGGTGAGGAGGAGACTGAAGGGGTGAGGGGAGGAGGAGACTTAAGGGGTGAGGTGAGGGGTAGAAAGATAGATTTGTGTGTCATCAGCATAAAGATGGTAGCTGAAGCCATGGGAGTTTATCAATTGGCCAAGGGAGGAGATGTAGATGGAGAAGAGAAGGGGTCCGAGGACAGAACCTTGAGGGACCCCTAAAGAGAGAGGGAGTGAAGAGGAGGAGCCAGAGTTATAGGTAACACTGAAGAGGCGTTGCAATTGGTAGGAGGAGAACCAGGAGAGAGCAGAGTCTCTGAGGCCAAGAGAGTGGAGTTTTTTGAGGAGGAGGGGATGGTCAACTGTATCAAAAGCCGCAATGAATGTTTTATTATATCTTTCAGAGTGGAATCCTCGGGGATGATAATATTGATGTTAAAGAAGAGTATAAAGAGGAGGATGAGGAGTATGGAGTGATGGAGGAGTTTTCAGAAGGACACAAGGATATGATGGAGCCACCTAATACCAGGAACCCACCAGAGAGATGTCCCCGTCCTCTGTATTCCCGGGATTCCACACAGGAAGGTCACACCATCCCTCACTATTGCAAGGTTGGAGGGATGGGGAATCTCTAGAACATGGACTTGTAGAGACTATGGGCTCCAATCACAAAGCGGTATCTTCCCGTATCCCAGTATGTAGTAAGATGCTGCATTCTGTTTTTTAGTAGTGAATCCTGCGGGGAATTTACCACTGGTGTCCATAGCAACACTTGTAAATAGCTTGTTGTTAAGGAGAGGGCAGCTGCCAGTGTCCTCAGCAACCAGTAAACAAGGAGCGGACGGCCACCAAGTTCCCCGCTGACAGCTGTGACAGGTCTGGTATGGATTTTGAGGGGAACCCCGATGCCAAAATTATAAAAATAATGGCGTTGGGTTCCCTCCAAAATCAATACCAGACCCTTAGTGAAAGCCCACCTTCCTCCTGAACCATACCAGGCCACATATCCTCAACATGGGGTGGGTGCTTTCAGGGCAGGTGCGCTCTGCCTCCCCAAAACACCTTGTCCCCATGGCGATGGGGACAAGGGTTCCTTCCCCACAACCCTGGGCAGTGGTTGTGGGTTTATTGGAATCTAGAAGCCATCTTTACCAAGGAGGCCCCCAGATCCCGGCCCCCCCACTAAGGACACAAGGATATGATGGAGCCACCTAATACCAGGAACCCACCAGAGAGATGTCCCCGTCCTCTGTATTCCCGGGATTCCACACAGGAAGGTCACATCATCCCTCATCACCATACAAGGTTGGTGAGATTGAGCATCTAGAACATGGACTTGTAGAGATGATGTGTGGAATTTGTATGTGAGCTTATATTTTACAGATGATATTTTCTCTCATTTCCTTGATTTAGAGTGGAGATCCAATCGATATAGAATTTGAGGTGAAAGCAGAAGAAGAAGAGGCGTATGTGAGGGATGATCAGCAGTCTATGGAGGAGGATGGAATAACGGGGACATTTATAGAGGAGGACACTCCTACAGAGATCAGCACAGGTGGGTCATGAACACTAAATCCATTCCTCCACCCATACTGCTCACTGATTGGTCCAGAGTAGGGCGGGGACTGGGTGATATCAGCCTGTAATCCCCTGGTCACTTTCCTGAGCTGTGTTCCCCGTCCTGTATTCCTGGATTTCTCTCGGATAATCTTCCTTCTCTGTGCTGCAGACACAATTTATGTATCTAGACTGGATTTATGGAGGTTCTGGGGTTCAGCTGGCAGCAAAATGTTCATTTTCACCATAGACATTACTAGACCTAGGCACCTGGGGTGTGTGCTTTTGTCTCTTCCCCATGCCCGGGTCTAGTAAGATCTCTGACAGAACATTTCTCCCAGGGTTCCTTGCTCTGTTATCTGCTGGCTGTGCCGGGTGGAGGGATATGTCTGTAGTGTCTCAGACCCAAGTCACTGAGTGCAGTCTCAGGAGATGGGAGGCAGCGGTGTGGGATCTCTGCAACTTGTCTACAGTAAACATTTAAACTTCCACTGATTACTGAATACCAATATTATGAGTCCCTGACCCTTACACTGTATAATTTATATTGTACATTACATACTCCTGACCCCTGCACTATATACTCTATGTTGTACACTACATACTGCTGACTTCTGCTCTATATCTTCTTCCACTGCTATATATATAAACATAGGAAAACATTGGGAAGAATAGCGATGAGTGATAGAGGGGGTGGGGACCCTCGTCCTATAATCCCCTCATCACTGTCCCTCCTATAAAAGACAGTTCTGGTTGTTTCCTCACTCTCTGACTAAGGTCCATGAATAAAGAAATGACCTGGTAGGAGATCAGAGGAGCCATTTCCTAGTTCCCTTGAGGGTGGAATTGTAAGCTCCTCAGAGACCAAGCTGCCTGATGTGGGCGGAGTCCTGGTTTGGGGGAACCAATCAGCTCCTGTCTAGTAATCCTCTTTGTCTTTGTATTTTAGTCCATGGCCGGGAGATGAGGAAAACCTCCGAGGATTGTCTCACTTTGTCTCCAGACTGGAAAGTAGAAGATGAGGACATCACACAGTATAGTCCAGGAGAAAACCCGGCTCCCTCCAATGTCCATCCGGCACCACCCAGTGTAGATGGACCATCGGATTCCTCGTATCCTGAGGAACCTCAGACTGTGCGGGACCGGGCCGGCCTTCCAACAGGGAAGAGCTTCTCCTGTACTGAGTGCGGGAAGGGTTTCCATTCTAAATCCAAACTTACTGTGCATAAAAGATCTCACACATGGGGAGAAGCCGTATTCCTGTCCTGAGTGCGGGAAATGTTTTGTAGAAATGTCTGATCTTGTCATACATCAGAGATCTCACACGGGGGAGAAGCCGTATTCCTGTCCTGAGTGTTGGAAATCTTTTTCAGTGAAGTCTAATCTTTATAAACATCAGAGATTGCACACGGGGGAGAAGCCGTTTTCCTGTCCTGAGTGTGGGAAATGTTTTTCACAGAAGTCCTATCTTTACACACATCAGAGATCTCACACGGGGGAGAAGCCATATTCCCTGTCCTGAGTGCGGGAAATGTTTTTCAGACAATTCCCATCTTTACAGACATCAGAGGCTGCACACGGGGGAGAAGCCGCATTTCTGTCCTGAGTGTGGGAAATCTTTTTCAGTGAAGTCACATCTTTATACACATCAAATTTCTCACACGGGGGAGAAGGCATATTCTTGTCCTGAGTGCGGGAAATGTTTTTCAGGGAAGTCCCATCTTGACACACATCAGAGACTGCACACAGGAGAGAAGCCTTATTCCTGTTCTGAATGCGGGAAATGTTTTTCTGATAAGTCCAATCTTTACAAACATCAGAGATTGCACATGGGGGAGAAGCCGTATATCTGCCCTGAGTGTGGGAAATGTTTTTCAGTGAAGTCCAATCTTAAGAGACATCAGAGATCTCACAGGGGGGAGAAGCCACTTTCCTTTCCTGAGTGAGGGAAATGTTCCTCACTGAAGTCCTGTCTTCCTGTACATCAGGGGTCCCACACAACCCTGGAGGTGTATTAGTTAGTGCCTTGAGTGCGGGAAATGTCTTCTAGATGAATGTTGCTGGACATCCCAGCTCTCATGTGGGGAAGAAGCACACCCTGATATACACCTCAGATATACTCCATGGCTGATCTTCATCATGGAAGAAACAGTTCATAAGGAGATCAGAGGTCCCCAAAGACATGGATGAAGTGTGGGACCGGGTTGTCCATTGATGGCAGGAGAAGAATAAAAATGGAGTCCTGACCTGTGATTGGCTGAGTACATTTTGTGGTGGGAGATTTCACAAACAATTAAAGGTCTATTTTTAAACAAATTATTGGACAAATGTGAGTAGCATGTGTCCAGCTGTGACGAATATCGGTTGTATTGTATTCATCCAGTGATGACATTAAGTATCATAGGAATTCGCTCATCTAGAAACTGAAAGCAGTTATTTTTTTTAAATCATTATAAACAATTTGACCAACTCAGTAAACAGTCTAATAGCATTTGTGATTTACCCCCATTCCCAGAGATGGAAGATACACGGCCATCACCGGGGGAATTGCTGGGAAAATCTGTTATGAAGAGACCCCTAAATGTCAGGAGACTTTGATTTAAGGAGTGGAAGTACACTATATTGCCCCAAGTATTGGACCCATGCCCAATCCCCTCCAATCATGTGATTCAGGTGTTCCAATCCCCTCCATGGACACAGGTGTATACAATCAAGCCCCTAGGCATGCAGACTGCTTCTACAAACATTGGTGAAAGAATGGGTCGCTCTCAGGAGCTCAGTGACTCCAAGCGTGGTCCCGTGATAGGTGGCCACCTGTGCAATAAGTCCATCCGTGACATTTCCTGGCTACTAAATATTCCACGCTCAACTGTTAGTGGGATTATAACAAAGTGGAAGCCACTGGGAACAACAGCCACTCAGCCGCCAAGTGGTAGGCCACGTCACATGACAGGGCGGGGTCAGCGCATGCTGAAGCGCACAGTGCGCAGAAGTCGCCAACTGTCTGCAGAGTCAATAGCTAAAGACCTCCAAACTTGGTGTGTCCTTCAGATGAGCACAACAACAGTGCAGTTGGGTTTCCATGGCTGAGCAGCTGCATCCAAGCCTTCCATCACCAAGTGCAATGCAAAGCATCAGATGCTGAACTCTAGAGCAGAGGAGACGTGTTCTCTGGAGTGACCAAATCACGCTTCTCTGTCTGGCAATCCGATGGACATGTCTGAGTTTGGCGGTTGCCAGGAGAACGGTACTTTCCTGACTGCATTGTGCCAAGTGTAAAGTTTGGTGGAGGGGGGATTATGGTGTAGGGTTGTTTTTCAGGGGTTGGCTTGGCCCCCTAGTTCCAGTGAAGGGAACTCTTAAGGCGTCAGCATACCAAGACATTTTGGATAATTTTATGCTCCCAACTTTGTGGGAAGAGTTTGGGAATGGCCCCTTCCTGTTCCAACATGACTGCGCACCAGTGCACAAAGCAAGGTCCATAAAGACATGGAGGAGCAAGTTTGGGGTGGAGGAACTTGACTGGCCTGCACAGAGTCCTGACCTCAACCCCATAGAACACCTTTGGGATGAATTAGAGCGGAGACTGCGAGCCAGGCCTCCTCCCCCGACATCAGTGCCTGACCTGACAAATGTGCTTCTGGAAGAATGGTCCAACCTTCCCATAGACACCCTCCTAAACCTTGTGGACGGCCTTCCCAGAAGAGTTGAAGCTGTTATAGCTGCAAAGGGTGGGGCCAACTCAATATTGAACCCTACGGACTAAGACTGGGGGCCATTAAAGTTCATGTGTGTGGAAATCAATATTGAACCCTACGGACTAAGACTGGGGGGCCATTAAAGTTCATGTGTGTGGAAAGGGTGGGGCCAACTCAATATTGAACCCTACGGACTAAGACTGGGAGGCCATTAAAGTTCATGTGTGTGGAAAGGGTGGGGCCAACTCAATATTGAACCCTACGGACTAAGACTGGGAGGCCATTAAAGTTCATGTGTGTGGAAAGACTGGCAGACCAATACTTTTGGCAATATAGTGTATGTAGCAGCTGAATGATTAGACCTCCTAGCAATGTCATTCCTAGGCTGCAGCTAGGGGGAGCTCTCCTGTTTAGAGCACGGTTGGGTCATTCATTCTCTCAAGAGGCCACAAGAGAATCTGGGACGGTTGTGGAGGACAAACTGAATTCTGCTGAATAGTCATTTTGGACCCGGGAAGGACTGCAAGTATGTAAACATATATAAAACAAACACCTGGCACTGGGAATAATAGGCACCATTGCTCATGAGATTGGTCTCATTCAGTTGGGCTTTTTTGGGGGTGGTAAAAATGGGCAGCTGAGCCAGTTTTTCTGCCCTCGAACAGTAAAATAACAGCCGGATGAAGCTATTAACAGGCTGTGGCTGTAGCATTATTAACTTGGGGTGCAGAGTCTGACAAGCAGCACCACTTGTCAAGCTCCACTGAGCCACCACTACGTACAATACACATAATTACAATGTGGTAGTGTGTCGTAGGGTGAAATCAGGTGGTGGGGGGCAGTATAACACGTCCTCATTCCCTGTCAGATGTCCTCTGAAAAGCCCTGTGATAGGAAGGAGAGAGCCTGAGATACAGGGGGGACTTCTTGGGATCCTGGCCTGGAGTGAAGGACAGGTGAACATCTCCCGGGGTTTGAAGAGTGGAGGCGCTAACACAAGAAGGACTTGGCTGGGTAGTGGTGGGAGAGCGTTGGGATGTCTCCTAGGCAATGTTCTCCCACCAGAACTGAGCCTCTCCTCTGTAACCATCAGCTCCTCCGGCTCTCTCCTTCCAGTTCTTGCAGCTCTCCATACGGACATGTAGATATGAAGTCACAAATCCTAAAGTGCGAGAGTGTGCAACTCCATGTCCAATATTGACCTCTCCATCTTCTCCAAAGCATGTGCTGAAAGTCCCTGGGTGTAAAGAAAACACGGCACTCCGGCCCCAGCAGTGTGAAAACTCCACCTTTTATGTCCTCACCAGACAGCCAAGATACAAAACCATCTAGAATCACTGATGCCGCGTCTCTGTTTAAACTCCTCAGTGTTCCTCAATATTCCAGCCCCAGGACGCAATGGTCTCCTAAACATCTAGAATCGCTGATGCCGCGTTTACACTCCGTTTACAGCCCCAGGATCAATGGTCTCAATGTTCCTCTCCAACACTATATCCAGCCCCAGGACATAATGGTCTCCTAAACATCTAGAATGGCTGATGTTGCACACTCCTCAGTGTTGCTCAATATTCCAGCCCCAGGACGCAATGGTCTCCTAAACATCTAGAATCGCTGATGCCGCGTCTCCGTTTACACTCCTCAGTGTTCCTCAATATTCCAGCCCCAGGACACAATGGTCTCTTAAACATCTAGAATGGCTGATGTTGCGTCTTCGTTTACACTCCTCAGTGTTGCTCAATATTCCAGCCCCAGGACGCAAATGGTCTCCTAAACATCTAGAATGGCTGATGCCGCATCTCCATTTACACTCCTCAGTGTTCCTCAATATTCCAGCCCCAGGACGCAATGGTCTCCCAAACATCTAGAATGGCTGATGTTGCGTCTTCGTTTACACTCCTCAGTGTTCCTCAATATTCCAGCCCCTAGAATCGCTGATGGTCTCCTAACACTCCTCAATGTTCCTCAATATTCCAGCCCCAGGACACAATGGTCTCCCAAACATCTGAATGCTGATGCTGCGTCTCCGTTTACACTCCTCAGTGTTCCTCGATATTCCAGCCCCCGGAAGCATTGGTCTCCTAAACATCTAGAATGGCTGATGCTGCGTCTCCGTTTACACTCCTCAGTGTTCCTCAATATTCCAGCCCCAGGACACAATGGTCTCCTAAACAACAAACCAACAAAACAGCTCAGAGATGATATATATTGTGCAGTATGTTTTTAATAAAAACTCCAATATACAATATAGCCACATGGTAAAAACAAACAGTCTGGACTTACTAAGATGGCCACAGATCTGAGTCCTGGAAATGGTGGTGTGTCTTTACCACATAAGGCCATACCAATGCATTTCATGTGCACACGTCTTCAGGGGATACGTCAATGGCCGATGTCAATAATAGAGAGAAAACATCAGCGCCATTTAGTGGAAGGTCAAATAGCTGACTAAATAAATACCTATGGATGCCATTTTACTTTGGATAGCCAACATAAAGGCAAACCAGCCTTTATGTTGTGAAACAGGTGCCGAACAATTGGGCCTTGGGTATTGGTGGTGCCCTAAATCAAAAGAAATTGTTGGAAGCTAGCAAAATCAGGATTCAGAAATTGGATAGGCAGCGTAGGCAGTCTTCAAGGGATCCCAGATCCCTAACAAATGTAATCAATTACATCAGCATCAGAGGCAAGATAGATTCATGTTGATAAATGTCAGCTGGTCAATGGAGTCTGTGGACAGACGCACTCTTTTATCCCTCACAACCTCCATCAGCACTGAATGTCCTTTCGGAAAGCACGCTGGATGCAGGACAGGCCAGTAGCTTGATGGCATATTGAGAAAGTTCTGGCCAATGATCCATCAAGACCCAGTAACCCAGTGAATGCTCAGTTGGAAAGGTCTCCAAGTCTGTTCTTGCCCCTAGATAATCCTGC